GGGACCCGGCTGGTATATGTCTGCTCTCGCAGTAGGATAGAGGGCAGTCCACCTAGAAGGAGTCTTAAGAGTTCATCTGGGCCAAATCCCAGGCCATGAGGTTAAGTGAGCAGTCTAAGGCACACAGACGTCTAGTGACAGGGCATACCTTGGACCCTGGACTCCTGAGTCCTAAGCCCTGTCTTTACTTGCTGTTGTATTTTTTGACCTGCTCCATTTCTGACCTGGGCCAGTTCACCCCTCTTTAGGCAACCTGGTGGTCCCTGCTCCCAGGAAGTCACCGTATTGATCCCGAACTGAGTGTGGACACCCGATGGGCATAGCTCACTGCAGCCTAGAACTCCTGGGTTTGAGCAATCCTCCTGCCTCAGCCTCTGAATAGCCGAAACTACAGGCCTGCACTACCGCTCCCTGCATATTTGTATTTTTTTCTATTACCTTTAAAAACTGTTGAGATATCTGATAGTCATAACTTAAGTTTTAAGTATCACGATTATGATGAATACCCTTGAACCTGCCTTTCCATGTGAGACCTAGAGAGTATAGCTTTCATCTCCCCCCACCATGGCTTCCCTGTAACTGTTCTTCTACTCTTCTTAAATGTATTTATCATTCCCTTGCCTTGGCTTAAAGAAAAAAAAAAGCCTTGTTAGTCTAAAACACATGTCTAAATAATAAGAGTATTCATGGCCAGGTGCAGTGGCTCATGCCACTAATCCCAGCACTTTGGGAGACTGAGGCAGGTGGATCCCTTGAGTTCAGGACTTTGAGACCAGCCTGGGCAACATGGCAAAACCCCATCTCTACAAAAAATAGAAAAATTGCTGGACATGGTGGCTCATGCCTATAATCCCAGCACTTCGGAAGGCTGAGGTGGACAGATAGCTTGAGGTTAAGAGTTCGAGATCATCCTGGGCAGCATGGTGAAACCCCATCTCTAACAAACTATAGAAAATTAGCTGGGCATGGTGGCCCCCCAGCTACTTGAGGGGCTGAGGTGGGAGGGTGGCTTAAATCTAGTAGGTCGAGGCTGCAGTGAGCCGAGATTGAACCACTACACTCCAGCCTGGGTGGCAAAGTGAGACCTTGTCTCAAGAAAAACCAAATTAGCCAGGCATGGTGACATGTGCCTGTAATCCCAGCTACTTGGGAGGCTGAGGTGAGAGGATAGCTTGAGCCCAGGAGACAGAGGTTATAGTGAGCTGAGATTGTGCCACCACACTCCAGCCTGGGCAACAGAGTAAGAGCCTGTTTGCCCCGGCACAGTGACTCACTCCTGTAATTGCAGCACTTTGGGAGGCCAAGCCGAGCAGATCACCTGAGGTCAGGAGTTCGAGACCAGCCTGACCAACATGGTGAAACCCCGTCTCTACTAACAATGCAAAAATTAGCCAGGCATGGTGGTGGGTATCTGTAATCCCAGCCACGCAGGAGGCTGAGGCAGAAGAATCGCTTAAACCTGGGAGGCGGAGGTTGCAGTGAGTTGAGATGGCACCATTGGACCTTAACCTGGGAGACAAGAGCGAGACTTTGTCTCAAAACAAAAAACAAAAAAGATGTTCACTGTTTTGCCTGTTTTTGAGCTTTCTATAAAAGTGGTAGCATCCTAGGGAGGCCCCTGGGACTACACCCCTCTCTCCACCACCATCGTTCCGTTTCCGGGGTCACTCATGTTGTTGGTTGTAGCTGCAGGTCATCCACATCTGCTTCATTCTCCGGTGCTGTTTCCTGTTTGGACCCCTTAGGGTTTGGGATGACTCCCAAGCAAATGGCTCTAGTTAACTCTAATTTTAATGTTTTACAAGCTGTCATTAAGCTTTCCCATGTTGCTTCTCTTACGGGAAGCATTTAATCATTTCCTGATTGATTGATAAACATCCTTAGTTCTAGAAATTTGTAGTGAAACATTTCCAATTAAGATTAATTGGGATTAATGCAAAATGTGAGTCAGACCCTTTTGCAAAAGTATTCTAGTGCCGTCAACGAGATTCAGCCCGACAGAGGACTGTCCAGACCCCTCGATGGGTGGGGATGTGATCAGCATATTGGAACTAAGTTTGTGAACAGTCTCCGAAGAAGGGTTGAAACAGTGTCTTTCACCTCGAGCTTCTCTGGTCAACTGAGGTCTTTTCCTAGATGACACTGCTCAGTTTCTAGTTAATCCCTCCTGATTATGTTCTGTCTGGATCACAGTTTCAAATTAGCCAGGCTTCCTTATATCTTAATTTGCTTTTCATTTATGGGAAGGATTGCTAATATCTAGCTGAAGACCAGAAGTTTTTAGGGGTTATACGTGGTCTTTAAATTAGAATTGTATATAAAATGTTTCCCCGCGTGTACAGTCTTCTAGAGAGGGACCTTATCATCAATCAGATTCGGGGAATCTGCAGCCCCGACAAGGACTGTTTTTACCCAGGGCTTCTCAGCCTTAACTCTATTAACATTTTGGGCTGGGTGATTCTTTGTTGTGAGGAGTCTATGTATCTTTTTATACGCATCCCAGGCCCCTTCCCATTAGATGTCAGTAGTTTCTTCTGTCCCAGTTGTGAGAAAAATGTCTCCATACGTTGCCAAATGCCTTTTGGCAGGGTTGGTTGGAGGTGTGTGTGTCTATGTGTGTGCACATGCAAAATCATCCCTAGTTGAGAAATACTAGTTTATACCTTTTAATAAGTTTGAGAGTTTTCTATTCTTGCTGGGCCAAGAGAATTCATAGCTATTTGTTGAGTTTGAGCATTAACTCTAGTTTAAGGGGAGCAAGAGAGATCCAGGGCTGGGTTGAGGGGCAGGGAAGTTGGGCAGGGGAATCATTAAAAGTTTTTTTAATATTTAAACATTGTATGTCTATTTATATACATGCAACATCCCCAGTCATCAAACACGTACTATTGTGTATTAAACATTTCACATGCATTATCAAATTATTATAACTCTCTAAGGAAGATACTGTGTTCCCATTTTATGGATTAATACATAGAGACTTCTAGAGATTCAGAAACCTGCCCATGGTTATAAGTTAAAGAATGGCAGTGCTGGGAATTGAATATGTCTCTCTAGAGTAAAAGCAGCTTATCTGTGTGCTCTACTCTAGATGTGGTGTTAAAATTTCCTCTCATGCCACTGAGCCAAACTCATGTCACTGTGGCCTTGGCTGACACATGCTGGCATAGAAGTGCATGGCACAAGCAGGGAATTCATGGTTGCTGGAATGTTTCATTAAGCAAAACAAGCGGTAGAGTTTCTGGTGTGGTATTTTTCTTTTCTCTTTGCAGGGTAGCCAGTTTGTTGTGTGTTCCATCTTGAGCAAGGGACAAGCTTTTTCTTTGCTTTCATTCTTTTTTAAAACAGCCGGCTGTATATACCATATCAATATCTTTTTAAAAAATGAAATGGATTCTCCTTCATAATGTGTTATGTCTTTGGTGACTGTGAAGTGGGTCCTTGCTCCACGGCCTACATGTGGTTAAGATACCTGGAGTATAAGTGGTAATATTCAAAACTTGTATTTCATTAAGGCCAAATGTGACATTTTGAGGATTACTTTATGTATTTTATGAGACTGTAGCTTGTTGATTTAGGGCTTTCAAAAACCCTGTAATTAGTCTGAGCAGAGCAGATGCCAGATACAAATCAGATAGTGCCTCTCTGCTTGGGTAGTGTTGGGGACTCCATCTGCCTGCCTTGGAGTCACCTGCACTTCTTAGAGTTGCATACACAGGTCTTCACCATTGTATCTGGCCCACCTTTCTCACTTTGTTTCTTGTCGCATCTCCTGAGGTCTCGCCTTCTGTATTAGGGCCCACCGTGCATTGAATTTACTTTGCACTTTACCAGCTTTGCTTTCACTCAGTTCCCTTCCCCCCCTCTCCCTTTATTTATTTATTTGGTATAGATTTATGGTGACTGGCACCTGGTAGATCTCAGTAAATATTTGCAGCTATATACTGTGAGGACAGTATTGTGAAGCACACAGTGCATAGCTTTAAAAAGGTGCTTGGGCTGGGCACAGTGGCTTATGCTTGTAATCCTGGTACTTTGGGAAGCCAAGGCAGGTCGATTGCTTGAGGCCTAGAGTTCGAGACCAGTCTGGGCAAGATGGCAAGACCCCATGTTTGCCTTCCCCCCAAACATACAAAAATTAGCCAGGTGTGGTGGCATGCACCTGTGGTCCCAGCTACTTGGGAGGCTGAGGTGGGAGGATCACTTGAGCCTGGGAAGTGGAGGTTGTAAGGAGCCAAGATCATGCCCCTACACTCCAGCCTGGGTGACAGAGCAAGACCCTATCTTTAAAAAAATTCAAAACATTTTTTTGAAAGCATACTTGATAAACGAGAGTAATGGTTGTCTCTCTAGTCCCCTGCCACTGCAATGACATAGTTTATTGCATTTACAGTCCACTTTGCTAGGCGGAGTGAGCTCTTGACTGTAGTGTGTCTCAGATCTTAGTGTTGTTTGCATGTGGCCTAGGGAAATTTATTAAGTTTCCATTGATTGAATGAAGCATTTTTAACCCCTGTGCGCATCTTGCCACTTGTTCTTTGCCTGGCTTTTCCCCCTTGCTTGGAGCTCATCAAGGAACCTGGCCTGGGGATTGTTACCTGATGTCTATACCCAGGTTACAACAAAGGGGAAAGTTAATCCGCTACTTGAGTGTGCTCACCATGGAACCAACTGGGAGTCACGACATCTACAGCCGCCAGGGTCTGTTGAGCAGGAGCAGGGGAGCCTGCGCGGCAGCTTTCTGACCTCTGCAGCCTGCTTCCACTTCTTGCAGGGTCTTTTGGATGCCCCCACTTGAGACAGAGACTGCTGTTGAGGGGGAGCAGACAGCCTGCACAGTAGGCCCCCTCCAGGCTGCTGGCACACAGAGACCTGGCAGAGGGCCTGCTACACGGCTCTTTGGGTTTTAGAATGCTTTGGGCAAGCATGCTTTTTAGAAGGAGTTTTTGGTATTCCTTCTGGCAAAAAGGACTGACACACTTTTATTTCTCCCTCCACAGAGTGATCAACAGCTGGACTGTGCCTTGGACCTAATGAGGCGCCTGCCTCCACAGCAAATCGAGAAAAACCTCAGTGACCTGATTGACCTGGTACGTGCCTCCTTCACATGGTTCCATTTGAGACTGCGGCTAAGAGTTGGTTGCTTTTGTGTAGCCTTTTCCATGCAGAATTCGCAACACAGGAAACCTTTTATCTCCCTAGCCAACCAGCCCACTGAACTATGATATTCCTCCAGCCAGAGAGAAGATGGGTTTCATATGGTGGTCTGTCATTCAGAACCATCTGTGTCAGTGAAGCCCAAGTTAGGAGTTCTAAAGTTAATGTCAGTCTGCTCCCTCCCCAGCTGCCTTGTCTTCAGTTTCCAGAAGCTTGCATTTAGGTGTGATGAGGAAGAGGCCGTACCCATCCAGCAGGCATTCAGCAGTGCACGCAGGCCAGACACTATCAGTCTTTGCTATTGTGTGAGTTTCTCCAGCCAACACAGTACAAGCGCCTACCTGTAAGATGCTTCCGTGGCTTCATTTCTAGTTGGAAAAGGTATAACAAGCAAAAGTTGGCTTATTAAAGGGCCCATCACATCTAGTTTCTAAATATTCTATTTATTTTCATAGAATTTTATGCTCAGGATGATCGGTCTCAAGACGATGCCTCAAATTCACTAGCACCGTATTATGTGAGAGTGCTCAAAATATCTTTAAAAATCTGTAAAGCCATAGGAAATAACAGAAAAAGTAAAATCAGGTCCTAAGAGGCCAACCGAATCACACTGATCACTTGGCAGTGAGTTCTCGCGCTGGGTTTGGAACTTGAGTCCCTGAGTCCTGTCCTCTGTTTCTTCCACTGTGTCTTCTTGGATGTGATTATCCGTTGCCCACCATGGCTCATCAGTGAGGTATCTTTTTAAAGAGTGGGTTGAGAGCTCGTTCATATGCTGTAGTAATTTATTTAATTCCATGTATGCATTCAGAACAGTTTTACTAGGAAAAAAAAAATAATGACAGCTAGGAGAGGCATGTACGTCATTCACAGAGAAGACTTTTCACAGCAGCCTGAAAGGTCTGTAGTGCGACTATCTGCATATTTATAGGGATGCAAACTCCCAGCTGAGAGGCAAGTGTGTGACACAGAGCAGAGTGTGTGGAAGGAGTTGCGAACCTGCTGTATCTCATTCATAGTAATTCAGGAAGTGGGAAGAAAGAGGTTTCTTGAGGTCACTGGCTGCTCAGAGAGACAACTGTGCGTGCTTGTGATGTAAGTGGAAAGAAGGCAGGTGTCAAAAAAGAGGGTCCCAGCCAGACAGTCAGCATTTCAGATGAGTAGTATCATAGTTGTGATGCAGATGAACCCACTATATGCTCTGGATCAGGGGTCCTGGGCCAGGAGCCAGCGAAGATGACTGAAGCAGGCTTGGCGGGGTTTAGGGGCCACAGGCCCATTGGGAAGGGCAGCTGCCCTCGTTATTCCAAGTGCTTGTTGCCCTGTTAGAAGTAGAGCCTCTACTGCTCGTTTTCAGATTTTTCTAGAGGAACCATATATTTTGTTTATTTTGTTTTGTTTTGAGACAGTGTCTCTCTCTGTTGCCCAGGCTGGAGTGCAGTGGCACGATCTTGGCTCACTGCAACCTCCGCCTCCCAGGTTCAGGTGATTCTCCTGCCTCAGCCTCCCGAGTAGCTGGAACTACAGGCGTCCACCACCACGCCTGGCTAATTTTTGTATTTTTAGTAGAGACAGGGTTTTACCATATAGGCCAGGCTGGTCTCGAGCTCCTGCCCTTGTGGTCTGCCCACCTTGGCCTCCCAAAGTGCTGGGTTTACAGGAGTGAGCCACCACGCCTGGCCATATTTGGGTTTTTATGTGAAATATCCTGATTTTTTTTTTTTTAAACAGAGTCTCACATTCTGTCACCCAGGCTGTTGTGCAGTGGTACGATCTTAATTCACTGTAGTCCCCACCTCCCCATTTCAAGTGATTCTCCTGCCTCAGCCTCCCCAGTAGCTGGGATTACAGGCACCCACCCCAGTAGCTGGTATTATAGGCACCCACCACCATGCCCAGCTACTTTTGTATTTTGGTAGAGACGATTTTCACCATGTTAGTCACGCTTGTCTCAAACTTCTGACCTCAAGTGATCTCCCCATCTCAGCCTCCCAAAGTACTGGGATTATAGCTGTGAGCCACCATGCCCAGCAGACTATCCTGATATTTAAACATTGGCCTGTGCATTAAATTGGTTGGGTCCAGTTTTGTGTAGAACCTGGGCCTGAGAAACATCAGCTGGGGACAGGCAATATGGGCTGGAGGGGTTAGAGGAGATGACCTTTGTTAAGAAATACTGAAGTATGAAGTTGGATAGGTAGGAGGTATCCTTGAAAGTGAGGAGACCTTGAACTTGATGTGGTGAGAATCGTCACCATCAGCCCACTGACTGCTGAACTTTTATGCAGTGCATTGTGCACGACCATATTTAAACTCTCGACAGTCCTACGAGGTAGGACCAGAATGAAGTCTGGGAAGTACCTTTGCGTCTTTGCATTTTTCTTAGAAATCTGTGCTTGATCCTGTGTGGAAGAGGTGGGCAAAAGTTGAAGGTGTGATTCACCTTTCATTTGGTCAGCTGCAGCCGCCTGTTTTTCTTCTAAACTCAGCATGAAAGCATGCTTGGCTGAGTTTAAATTTAGTTTGCCAATTTAGTTATTACTGTATTTTAGAAATAAGCCAAACATAGAAGTAGGAAATGATGAGCAAATTTTTCTCAGTAGACCCTTCCTGGTGTTTAACAGGCTGTTTTGTTCTTATGGCAACCGAAGTGTTTTACTACAGCTGTGTCTTTTCTCCGGGACTCCCTCATCCCTGGAGTCCCTTCCAGAGATGTGCATGTAGCTGCTTTTATCAAAACCTGGTCAGCTCGCTCCCTCGCTGCCCGGGCCAGTTTTCCTTGGACTCAACAGAGAAATTGCAGCATTGATGGTGAATGAAGGAGAGGATCAAGAGCTGTCTTTTGCCATAGCCAGATACTGAATGACAGAGATCAGCTCTGAGGTTTAGTTGCAGGATGGTACTTGGACACAAGTTGAAGTGCCAGACTGTATCCACCATTGATGTATAATGCAATGTGTGACATTCCATAGATTACTGTCAGACCGTACTACTTTTTTTTTTTTTTTTTTTTTTTGAAACAGGGTCTTGCTCTGTCTCCTAGGCTGGGGTGTAGTGGTGCAATCAATCAAAGCTCAGTGCAGCCTCAAACTCCGGGCTCAACTGATCTTTCTGCCTCAGCCTTGTGAGTACCTAGGACTACAGGTACTCACCACCACATCTGGCCAATTTTTAAAAATGTTTTCTTTACCATGGAGACTGGTTCTCCCTATGTGGCCCAGGCCGGTCTCGAACTCCTGGCCTCAAGCAATCCTACTTTTCTGTTTTTAACTTTTTCTTCTGTAGAATGTATGCTAGAGCTGTTGGAGGTGGGCTGAGGTTGGGGTGGACAGCTGACGTGTGTTGAATACCCACCGTGTGCCCAGGACTAAGCTGGGGACTTCTGTTTGTGTTATTTATTATTTCTTCAAAGTCATAGAACACCCCTGTGAGGTGCATGTGGCTACCTCACCTCTTTTAGATGATTTAGACTCTATGGGGAAGAAGCCAGGAAAGGGATGTGGCTTTGGAGCGCCAGGAGTTCTGGTTTCTCCTGCTTCCCGGATTGCTTTGGGTCAGTCACACTGAAAGCAACAGATTAAATGTGGCGTGTCTATGTGGTATATCAGTTTTGCCTGTTTGGAGAGAAACTGTTAAATAATTAAATTCATTAGTAATCTAAAATGTTAACACATAGGTATATTATGGAGAATAATGTTAAATTCATATAATTTAAAAGCAAAAACTAGACACAGGGCAAAAAAAAAAAAAACCCCTTCTCAGAACCAGACTATTTAGGATTAGTGGTTCACTTTCCTCCATTGCCTCAAGGGGCGGCCTGAGAGGCGCCAGCTCCCCCTCACTGGCTGTGCAGAGGCCACCTGGGGCCCCATCTGCCTCAGAAGCAGAACAAGAGGCCAGAGTGGATTCCCATCATCCAGAGTGGATTGGGGAAACAGTGTTCTCATTAATTTTTTAATTGAAGTAAGGAGGAATGTCAGAATGGAAATGGAACATGACTTTTCAACAAATTAGGATCTGGTACCTCATGCCTCATTAAAACTGTATTGACATGCATTGGCCAGGCGTGGCGGCTCATGCCTGTAATCTCAGCATTCTGGGAGGCTGGTGGATCTAAGGCCAGGAGTTCGAGAGCAGCCTGTCCAACATAGTGAAACCTCATCTCTACTGGAAAAAACAACAACAACAACAACAAAAAACTATATTGATATGCTTCAGAAACCACTTTCTGATTGATGGCCTGGCTTTGCGCTCCTCACTACGTATGGTACTCATAGAAGAGGCAACGTGCTGGTTTTGTACTGGATCCTGTGACCGATCCTGGAAGTTACTTCTTTGAATGTTTTATTTTCATTACTGCCAGTGTTCTCTCGGGATGACAGTTTTTCATTTTTTCTTTTTAACTGAATTTACAAAGTGCTTTATTCTGTAAGAATTGGTCTGTGCTGAGTACAATGTTGTGGCATTGACATTCACATGCAGTTCTAATTTCTTCCCAAAGCTATAATTTCAGAAAATTCACACTGTTATGCACCTGTCTAAAGGCAAAGGATCCGGGCCTTTGTTACGTGTAATCTGGGATCAGTCAGGTTTTTCGAAAGTAACTAATGCACTGCTGCTCCGTGCAAACAGCAGTCATTCCTCGCGTGCTCACCTGGCCATGATAATGAAGGGGAGATGGCTGTTTTCAAGAAAAGTCTCCAGTTTTAAGACTGACAAGAATGTTAGGATTTGCCAGCATTCCCCATGAAGGGAATGGCCTCACTTAGATGTCAGAGCCAGGGAACTGTAGGGGGATGGATCCAGTCCACCAGCGGTCTGATTACAGAGTAGTGTTAAAGACAAACGTGGTAGATGCTTGGCAGCCAGGCCAAGGCAGCCCAATTTATCATGCCACATTGGCTTGCTTTTTTCTTCCCAGCATCAGAGTTTT